AAGAAGAAGAAGAAGAAAGAAAGTTGGACTAGTATTGATCCGACCTATCTGGCCCTGCGTCTTACTACTGCAGTGAAACAGTTTGGTGGAAATGTAATACAAAATTTTTTTTCACTATGAACAAAAGTTTAGTGAAATTTTCTATCTCTAACTTTTTAAAAGTGCAATTTTATTCATTTTTTCATTATTTTATTTTCTGTAGTCATGTGTCTGTGATTACACTGGTATATCTTACTTCCATTATCCACGATTAATGAGTAATTTACTAACAGCTGATGAACATTTTTCTGTTACTTACAAATAAATGCAGGACTTTTAGTGGTAAAGCACCATTTTACACGACCATTTATACTCTTAACAATCTGGATTCCTTTTGGTGATAATGTAGTTATGTCGTCCAGCTGATCTGAGGTTTTTTCTGTCTTTCTCTCCAACTTCCACTCTCTCTCTCTCCTCTTCTCTATCGCCGAGGCGGAAGTCATTGTGGGTTCACGCCGTCGGTGAGCCTAATCAGGGCGGTCAGCATTTAAGCCAGGAGGTGACTGCTGTTCTTCGCTGGATTGTTGTCTGCCAGGCGTTAGTGAAAGTCAAGTCTACAGCTAAGCTAAGCTCAAGTGTTTAAAAGTGAACTGTGTAACTAATCCTCGTCTCCCCGTCTACAGACCTCCTGGATTCCCTCCCCGTGCGATTCTTTGTGTCAAGTGTGGAAGAGTGAACCTGTGGCTGTGAGTGTGGAGAGTTGGAGAATGCGTGACTACTCCCGTGGATTTCCCCGGAGCCCCGTCCCTCACCTAATTGTATATAGCACTGCCCCGCACTTCCCATAAATACACAATGTGGATTCTGCAAATAAATTATTGTGTACAGCTGATTCTGGAGTCCTGCGCTTGAGCCCTCACCATCGAACTGTAACAAGTTAGCTTTTTTGTCCAGCATTCATCTATAAAGACAATAAGAAAAAACCAAATAGATGTGATATGCTTGGGAAACTGTTTTCTAACTGAAGCTGGTTGCATGCTGGCTGAATATCTTTTCTTGTAACGTTAAACTTTAAGTGAAAATTAAACTGCACGATCCCCACCTTAATTGTTAATATTCTCCATAGATACTAAAGACCCGGTGTAGGAATGAATGCATGCAGTCGATCTGTTAAAATAAGGAGTTATATTAACCCAGAGCCTTGTGCTGCATTAGCTGTACGAGAATGTAAAATGTAAAGGCAGAAGAAACCATTTCTTCTAATGGCTCATCTGTAGTCTTGATGATTTTTTTTTTTTTTTGCATCTATAGCAAATCAATCAATCACCTCTTTAAAATAATTTCAAGGAACACGGATAGATCTGAAACAGGATAAACTGTCATGGTTCTCAAGATCTGGAGAGGTCGTGGTGTGTGTATTTTTTGTCTTAACCTCTCCCACCAGGGCGGAACTGGACCTTGGTTCCCCGCCTCTGAACCCACCCTGAACACACACCTGTGGCTCATTCACACTGATCCTGGCAGACTACTTAAGATGGCAAGAGAGGCTGCTTCCTCGCTGGATCGTCACATTACCAAGTGTCAGTGTAGCGTTGCCTATGAAAGTGTTCCTTTGATCCCCTAGAGTTTCCTCCTGACTTTGTTTTTTCCTCTGTGTACAGGCCTTCTAGACTCCCTGCCCGTCTTCCCTGCCGTCTGGATTTCTGTGGATGTGTGTGAGTGAGCGTGAGCTTCTTAGTGTGGACATTTTTGAGTTACGGATCAAGTGGAAGAAGAGCGTGTGTGTACCCCCGTCTTGGACCTTCCCTTCGGACCCCGCCCTACTCCCTGGAGCCCCGTGTTATCTATTCCACTGTATATATGTATATATTCTCACTTGGTGTCACATTGCAAATAAACCCTCACCTTCTCTCTAAACTTCAGAGTCCTGCGAGTGAGTCCTCTGCCTACTAATCTGTGACACTAAATGTAAACATATTCACACCAATTACTGCGCACGGAGTGTTAAACTGGGGCGACTTCATTTGCTGACTGGAAAATTGCACATGCGGTTAAGTGGAGACTCAAAAGTCTCCTGTGTACTCCTCCCCAACCCCCTTGGCTAGCCTGGATGTGACCCAGTGCTCAATATAACATCAAAACAGTAGGTTTTACTGTAACTACTCATCTGTGTCTCTCACTGGCTAGTAAACGTCACACCATGAAGAAACATATATTCTAGCAGGGACACAAAGCAGAGAAGCGAGATCTAACTTGGGGTTTACTGTAGGAAAAGGATCATCCCCATGCAGTAAATCATTCAGATCTTGCGCAGACTTGACCAGAACTCTGAAAAATAAAAATATTAGATGAAGACACCAGCTACATTTTAGCTTTGCAAAGTAAAAGACAGTGTAAGGATGACAGATCACTGTCAAGAGACCATGTTATAGCTGGTGACTGCCACTGATACCAGCACCAGCTGGTTTAGTGACAGTAAAATCACTATTAGTTATGATTAATGTTGCTTTCTCTGAGCAGTGCACCACATAGTAGCTTTTAGACCATTTCCATTTGATTTGGTATTTATCTGGGATTCAAAATGACAACAGACATAATCGGGAAAAGATTTTTCTTTGCAATCACTGCTCATTGTTTGTAATGATGAGTGCCCTTTATTATTTTCATAAACAAAGAAACCACAAAAAGAAAAAAAAAGTGTGAAAATGATTTTTGTTTTTTCAGACTAAGACCTGACCACAAGGCTGGCGAATAAATATAATGGTACAATATAAATTAGAATTGAATTATATAATAAACATGTGATGACTAAAGACCTATTTTTAAAGCTGTTCCTACTGTTTTCTATAGGAGTGCTTGTCTTCATTTCAATAAGGAGGGATCATTTATGATGGAACTGAACATAATTTATTAATATACAGAATTCAGTTTGAGGTATTTGGTGGTTAGACTCCGATGGCGCGTCACTGAACGAAATCCCAGCAGTTATAGGGATTATGGTAGGACCCCCTGGAGTCTAGATGCTGGTGGTGGAGATGAAGATGAAGGCTTGAATGGAGCCTGAAAGATGAGCGAGAGGTGATGATGGGGAGGAGGTGGGTTGCATGAAGGCATCTGCAAGGGACAATGACTAATGTCCAGTGAGATTTAAAGTACACAGAATCACAGCTGATTGGCCCGAAGAAGGCTGGCAAAAAGCTGATTGGACGAGACTAGTGATGTCACAATCAGCTTTACATCGTGGGAAAGCGGAAGTGATGTCAAGCTTAGAATGGGCAGCAACACCTGGGAAGCAGACAGATGTGTGACTATGGCATCAAATCAAATACACATGCCTGAAAAAGCACAAAAATAAAAATGTGAACTCTATATCTTTGGTTAGTTGTGCTCAGACACACTGACCTTCCCAGCCGATCTCACCGTCACCATCCAAGTCTCCCTCCAGGAGGAAAGCTCTGGTGTCTGCTGGGGTCAGAGGTCTTGCTCCTTCACAGAGTTCTCCAAGAAGAGCCTGACCGAGAGCAGTGAAGTGACAAGTGAACAAGAAACACAGAAATGAACAACACACTAAAATTGTCTTGGCAAAAGGTGATTTTATATATCAGATCAGAATGCTTTCTGTGCATGTGACTCAACTGTAACTCACCCTGTTCCATGTAGCCACTTCTGTCCTGGTCCAAAAAGCTTAAAGACACACTCAAGCTCTCTTTTATAACTGTTTTGATAAAATTCTTTACACCAAAGGAATCTGATCAGATCAACTCAGATGAAATGATGATACCCACCAGGTGACAGCAGGCCTTTTTGTCCTATGGCAAACAGGAAGTATTCACACCCTACTACTTACACTACTATTTACTCAAGTTCACAAGTGCTCATTGGAGAAGTGATGTCTGGTGCAAAATTTGAACACTGATGGTCGAAAAGAAACAGCTGGTGACAGTGAACAAGCTTCAACCCACCCTAAATGTCAGAAACCACCAATTTCTGTCTGTTCACTGTCACCTGCAGCTGACCCCATCAGCCATCACTGTGTGCCATCATACAGCTGTGTTTTCTTTCTCCAGGGGTCACTGTGGAAAAAAGAAAGACTTAAACAGACCCCAAGCAGGTAGAGACTCTGTGTAAACAAAACAGCAGTCAGTGAGGTTATATTCGGTGCATCTGGAGGGAATCTGGCCGGCCTGCATTTCCTCTTCACTCGTGTTTCCAGCCACAGCCAAAGTTGCTGCCTGCTTGTGGTTGTCCCTGGCAGGGCTTCCGCATGCTGTAAACATCCTGTTATTATGGAGTCTGTCACTTTCAGGCTCTGCTCCATGGAGCTGTCTCCGCTCACAGCCACACTGTTTCCAGCAATACTACATCTAGCATTTAGAAAATAAGGAACATATAATAGACATTCACACTAGACTTACAGTTAATATAAATGCATTTAGTTTTGTATGGATCGCTGTGCCTTTTCTCACAAGCTTGGAGAAGTATGCCCCAAAAAGTGGGACATAGTTGGATGATTGAGCATACATTGGAGAAGTATATGTGTTTCAGAAATACCAGCATATATACTGACACGTCGCACGAACGTTTTCTTACTGTGTTCAGAGAATAAAGAGAAGCGCACGTCTTAAAGTAAGATTTTTCCCCCCCTCTATTATATTCACACAGTATTACTCTGGCAAAACACTGCAAACTACAAACATTTGCTCAGGCCGCTCACACTCTCTGCAGTATTTGCTTTTAAGGGAATAGTAATGCATTTTGTATGCATAATAATTTTGTTTTCTTTGTTTTAAACTGACTATTAGAAGTTTGCAGTACAGGCTTTTGTTATTTGCCCTGTTTAAAAAATAATAATTTAAATTTAATTCTTTAATATACTTTAATACACTTGAGATAATTTTGAGCACTATTATTTTTTAGATACGATGCATTAAAGGTGTAATTGTATTAATATGCACATTGCAACATAGTTATAGCTGTTACGAATACTTAAAAGTAGGTACACTAGGTTTTTACAAAGAAATAAAAAATAATTATACTGTAAGCATTTTTAAAAACGGCTTAATTTCCTGATAATTGGTAAAAGCATCTTAATTTTCTCTGCATGTAGCGTATTGTGGAGTGTCTTAACCTTGCCTAACTTCCAGGTATTATACAAGAAAGCAGAAGCAAATGATATGCAACTTATTTGTGCATAAGCAATTTTTATAAGTAAATTAAGTAATCTTAAGAAAAGATGAATTAAATAATACACTATTCATCGTGTGCATCCGCAGAATAAATATTCAATAACAATGTAAAACATTATGATATAAAAAGGCAGGTTGCTCCATAACACATCCTGAAAAGTACAGCGTACTTACAATATAAGATCATTGTTCTTCAGCTAAATTACACTCTACTTGAAATTAATTACACTGTACTTTAAACTTCTTTCCAAATAGTTTCTTTAAGGCAGATGTGAAATCGTAAAGTAAGGTCAGAGGTAAATTGTGACAACGTGATTTTTATGCAAACAAAGGAAGTAGGATTTTAAGCATAGTTTTCAAAATAAAATGCTTTTTAAAAAAGTTTGACTTATTCGACCTTGAAGAGATCAGAGGTCCAAAGTAGTGTAATATTTAAAATCCCATAATATTATTTTCTATATGTCTATATTTGTCAGCACAAACAATGGCTATAATTTTACCTTAGAACAAACACTCTGTATGGCATTATTATCACTTTGACTTTCAGCTCAATCTATTGACATTGAATGAGAGGTCACACGTCAAATGTGTCATGATATTTAAATCTTTATATGATACTTTCTATATGCTGACAATGCACACTACACTTACAAGAATCATAGTTTCTAAGGCTTTCTGTCAATTTGACCCACCATAGTTTGACCTCGAAGACTTTGGTGGATGTAAGGCAAATGTTATTGGACTGCTAAGCTGTTACTATGTGTTACAGACAGAATGACGCATACACAGACTCGTAAACATTACCAAAAACATGGCAGAGGTAATAACTGCAGTAATGCGGTACGTCTGTGTTTCTAAATATGTATTTTTTTTTCTTTTCAGGCTGCAGATTTCACTTATATTTGTGGATGCAGAGATGAAGCAGAGTCACTGACGGAGGTGTTTCTGTGCCCACTCTAGGATTTCTTTATTGTTCTTAATTATTTCCAGCTAAATGTTTTCTTTTTCCCTTTATCACTTTAATATGTCGCTCAAATGATTTGAATTGTTGCATTTAAAGCAGCCTGACTTCTCTGCACCTTTAATATCCAGCTTTTTACAGAGCATGAAACGTATTCAGTTTTTTTCACTCGAACTGTAAAAGCATAGCTACGTTAGTAAATGTTTTTACTTTTGAAGATTATTACTAAAACTTCCCATTTTGGACAATGTGTCCATTTTTTTGTTACACTGTAAATCAGTCAGTGGGACTCTGTGGAAAACCATGTGCAGATAAATTCCCACACTTGCAGGTGGCTTGGCAGATTGCAGTGATTACATACAGGAAATGGAGGCTGGATAGATGGCAAAGTCTTCGACTTTTGTTCTAACACTGAGCCTCACCACACAGCGTTGCTGTATGCTACATTTGATCGTCTGCTGTGATTATTGCTGACTTTTTCCTGCTTGTTAAAGCCTTTATGATTTTTAAGAAACAGCGTTTGTTTGGAGGGATTACTCCAGCGCTACAGTTACTGCGTCACACCGGCCCTACGAGGGAGCACGTGTGGGCCCAAGGCCTGACCAGAGTGACGAGGGCTTGGCTTCCTCAGGATGGACTACATTGAGGCTTGCAGTAACCAGAGGGGCAGTGGAATGACAAAAACATCCTCTGCGCCCCCACACGTACCTGCCCCCCTTGTCCTTGTCCCTTTCCATGCTCGGAGACTTGTTTTCAGGAAGACCAGACTTCCTGTGTGATGGAGCAATGGATGAGAGGAGGAAGAGGGGGATGGGATAGACAGGAAAAGACAGACAGAGCGAGATAGATAGGGATGAGGCATCAGTCCAAAACACATCGTGATTTGGGGCATTTTGTTTCTTTTTTCTTTTCCTGACAGACGGGCAGCTGTAAGGGAGTCCAAGCAACAAGAGAAGAGAAAATTACAATGCAGATCTTTTGCTACGTTTCATGCTTTTACCTTTTGTCTACTGCACCTGCAAAAAGTCTTGTCTCATGTAAGGCAGCTTAGCAGGGAGTGGTCTGATGAGCTACAAGGATTTATTCAAGGCAATGAGTTCTCACGGGTACTAACAAGTTCGTTTTTTGGACTTGGATTTGAACATTGTGCACTCACAAATCAAAAAAGCAATATTTGCCTTTCCCCCCTTTCTCCCTTTAAAAATGAGAAACACTGAGTAATGGGACAACCAGCAAAAGGACTGGAAACAAGAAGAGGTAAAGCTCCCATTAACAGAAGGTAGGTTGCACTTCACCTTTGATAGGCAGAAAAACAGCATTTTCTCTTTGTGTATCTGCATCTAATTTATTAGCATAAACAACCACGGAGATTTGGCATTATGATTTAAATGAAAATCTAAAGCTATACAAATATGAAACTTTTTAAATGGGCATCATCTCACCATCATCATGACAGTTGTTTTCAGTTTTATAGCTTTGGAAATTTGTATCCTTGGGTGCAGTCAGCTGACATGTAATGCTCATGATTTTCAGTTTTTTCTCTTTGTCTCTCTCAATATTTTCTTCTCACTTTCACTTTATCAGCATCCCCAACTCTCAGTTTTGTCTCATCATTGGCTTTTTCTGTGAATCTTGCTCATAAAGTCTCAGTACGAGTGATTTAATGACTGTGGCACAGGTGGATGAGTGGGCTTTTGATTGATTTGTAGGGCAGGTGGTTCAAACCTGGGCTCCTTCGACATGCATGCACAAGTATCCCTGAGTAAAAAGCTTAAATGAAGATGGGTGGTTTATGGGAGCCACTGGCTGTGAAAGTGGAGTCCATATAACATATAATGCTTTTCCTGAACAAATCTGCAATAGTTAGCTAATTGCATTTACCAGGCGAACCCTGCCACTAAGACTCAGGACCAACACCAGCTGTTTATTTACAGCTTTAGCCATAAGGTGTCTAACATACACTTGAATATGTAAATATCCTTTATGTTAAACATGTGCCATCACCTTGAAAATTGTAACACTTGCTTTTTATCAGACATGGACTGTAATAAAATGTACTGCAGTTCTGGATTTTACAATTTTTCACAATTTTTTGTTACAGAGCAAGAATTTTTTTTCTCACCCCCCGTTTTTAGTGTCTCATGATGACATACTACAAACAGCTTTATGCAAAGTTTGCAAATCTGTGACAATAAGCAGTAATTTTGACATCTGCAGACGTTTGCACTTTCTGCACCACCGAAAAGTGCGAAGGTTTACCCGAAGCAGACTATTTCCACAGTTTTTCTTTCCCAACAACAGACTTATTTCCATCATGGTCCTGGCTTATCCAGGTGCATGCGTTAGATGATGGATTTTTATGATGACTTTGCAGGAAGGCTCTCCGCAGTGCAGGTGAAACAATGCGCTCCCTGCTCGTCTACAGCTTCCTGCACCTCCCGCAGGACCTTTGGCTAGTTTCCTTTTTCTTTTGGCCCTGGACACATTTTTTCTTGATGTCATTTTACTTTGTCATGAAGCCTAATTTTCAGTTGTAGTTAGTTGTAGTATAATTCTTGAATGTTACCAAAAGGTTTGAAGAGTCAGAGGGTTAATCAAATCTGGACTGATCAGTTAAATCACCCGCTAAATGTACTATTAATCATGTTTATATATTTTATTAAGCACTTTACAGTCTTGATATCAAATCCTGACATCATTTATCTGCTTTATTTATTTATGATGGCTCATCAGGTTAGACTTGATGTTCCACTGATGCTAAACTAAATCTTTAAGTCCACCACTAATGCCTGCAATGCTCGGCCTCTCAGACATGAGTGAGAGAGGCACCCTGTTCGTCCTTCCGTCCAGGGAAAGTGGTCGCTCCTCCTCTTTTTGGGCTCAGTTACACCTTTGACTATTTCTATCTGACCAGCTGCGGTGTGGGCATGTCAGAGACACTCTGAAATTCAGCCAAGACCAGCCCTCCAAAAGTACTCTTAAACTCCACCCTCCAGGACTGCTCACCACCCTCTGTCTTTGGAACAGTTTAGTCTTGTGCTTCTGTTTTGGCACCTGTCTTTCAGCACTAAATGTGTGATTGTCTGTGGCATTCAGTGTGCATGTGCATGTGTGCATGCCATTCTATTTCATCCATGCACTGTTTTGATGCACTCTTGTGCAACTGGTTAGTGTGCGTATGCAGTACAATGAGACAGTGTGCGCAATTTTGAATGAACCCAAAGCATATTGCTTGAGTGTGTGTATTCATGTTGCTGCCTTTAAGTTGCTTAAAGCTATAAAACTCACACATACATGTAATATGTTTATAATGAAGAACAAGAAAGGTACCCTGTGGGGTAATCAGTAAGTAAACTGTGATGCTTCAAAGACTTATTGACATTTATAATGTACATATTGGGGTGTCACCCTGGTCTAAGCACTGCAGTATGAGCTTACTCTAGCCCATGTTAGTACACCTAGCAACCACAACCAACTAACTCCAGTGTGGATATTATACTAGAGTGTTCCCTTTCTCAGGCTTCAGGTGAATGCAGACCAGTGCCACCTGAACTTGATTTGCCTCCTGATTAAAGTAGGTCTATGTATGGATGCACAGCACTACATAATATACCTATTGTGTGACACGTAAACAATTACATTTTACAGGGGACATTTTTTTAAATAAGGAAATGACATAAATTAAATATCTTGAGGTGGAAATCCTTTATAAATTGTCTGTTATGCTATCTCTACAATGTCCCTGGTTTTAACCCTGTTTTAAATCAGCTGTTTTACTGCTCATGAGCTGCCCACGCCCTGTTAGGAAGTGTCTCAGTGACAGCAAGTGGCAGCCAGTGGGAGCAGCCCAGGTCATGTGGGAGCAGACATGAGACACTCTTTTGCGTGGTCTGTCTGAGGAGCAGTTTTACATATAATTTTGGCCAAAGCACAGCCCTTGACTTTCAGTTACATGTTGGCAGTTTGTGTCGCGTGGTGTTCATTTTAGTGCAAAGTAGCAACCTAAAAATTGCTTGGAGGTGGTAACTGGTTAACACTGTAACCTTTCAATGTAACAGTGTGTCAAGTGGATTGAACAATGCTTTATAGTCTATGGTAATGTAATTATATACAAACAGAATTCCAAAAAAGTAGAGACGCAAAATGTAATTAAAAAGAGAATGCATTGATTTGCAAAAACCCATATTTTAGAAGACATCTCAAATGTTTAAACTGAGGCATTTCACTATTTCCACTTTGCCTCAGTCCATTTTAAGTGAGGTTTGTCTCTGAATCAGCCAACACATAGCTTCATTGCATTACAGAGCTTTAACCTGGATTCGAGGATGGCACGGTGAACTGTATTCACAGACAGTGATTTATGTAAGTGATCCAGGCTTTATTGTTTGCTACAGGGTCCAACCAACAACTGCTGAGAACCACAGGCCAAAACAAGCCACTATATAAAAGGATTCATCATGAAAGCATAGTGTCCTGTTTCCTGTTCCTATAGTGTGAGATAGAGGATATAGCCCTGGGCAGAGCTTGATTCCCAAATAAAGATAGTTATGTATATTCCAATGCCACAAGCCCCTGTAAATCTCATCACATTTAAGATTAGCCGCTGAAACAGATCTGCTCTTATCTGATCAGGGCTGTCTGTGTGCCTGTGTGTGTGTGTGTGTGTGTAAATTAGAGCTCTGTCAACGAGTGCTTGAACTCAGCTCCTTCAAAAACACTTCAAACCAGTCGAGGAGCACCGCAGCTGTGATCAAGTATGTGTGCCTAAATGTGAGTGTGTATGTACAGGTCAGAGGTCACAGTCAAGCCTTTTAACACTTTTTCTCTCTGTCGTTGGCTCGCCAGCAGTCCTGACAGTTTAAGGAAATTCCTTCTCACATGTATGAACTCTGCATGTTCACTTTTTTTAATGCTGTAGTATCACTTTGCCCTGCTGAGCTGCGCCCTTAGCAGCACTTTGATTACAGCACTGGATGAGGTAAGTGTTTACAAGGATAAGTGCGACAGCTACCAAGTGACAGACAGGTCAGGCCTTTCACCACTTGGTTTGTTGGTTGCACCAACCGGCTGATGTAGCGGTTTAAGTGATAAAAGCTGCTCTCTTCCTTGCTCTGAATGTCTGGAAAATCAAATATCGCAAATGTAGCATCACCAATTTTCCCTGCTAGGATGCTTTACAGTTTGTGTGTTAGTGTGTGAAATAAAGTACTTAGCAATTTTTAATACGCCACTTGAGGCTAACTTTTACACTCTACTGCCACCAAGTGGTAGGAGGCTGGACTATTCTCCTGTTTTCAATGTTTCTTATGATCTGTACCAGTATTAAAAAAAAAACATCCACTTCATAAGATGAACATTTTTTAAGCCTAAATGTGTGATTTTCTTTAATCACTAAGAAAAAAATGTTAAAGGTAAAGTTTATTTTAATAAAGGTCAGCTCCTTTGCATCAGCAAACTTGTGTTTTTATGTCATTTTCCTTAAACAAAGTCATTCAACTTTTTTTCACTTCATATTTTTCACTTCTTCCTTTATTTAGTGGTTATGGAGTCAAATTCAGAGGCCAGGTCTAATTAGTAATCCCAAGGAAGTAGAACAGGGATGTCAAAGCAATTCTGCACCATGCGCCACTTTTGACCTTAAGTGGGCCAGATCGGCGAAACCCCCCTGCTTTCAGTGCAAAGAAGTTTAATCACACATTTAATCTGTCAGAGATCTTAATATGAGATAAAGCGGTTCAGTTTCAACAGTATACACCAGTTTTTCTACATGAGAAAGAAATGCTTCTGTAGTAAACGAAAGAAATATCTCAACTATTTGAGCTTAAAATGGCATAAACAAATGTTTAAATTTACTGAAAAAGCTAGAGCCAGATTTGGGTATCAGATTGGAGGCCAAATGTTTGACATGCCCAAAATAGAACAATAATGGGCTCGTGGCTTAAATATCTAATTAAAATATGGATATATTAAAATGATTCACATTTCCCATCCTGTGCAAGTCATTCTTGAAGTAGCCTACATTTTTTAGACTAATATATTACACTTTATGTCCTCATATCACCAAAGAATGAGTTCAGATAGATCCCACCCAACTCCACCTCATCCCTACCCAGCTGACAAAGATCCGAGCTTCTCATACACTCCTGTCTGATCCTATACCTGTCTGTCCGCTTCTTTTTTATTCAAACACACAGTCACGCCTTCCCCAATGCAGTATGCCCCCTGGCACTGGCTAGTTCAGACAGACTGGCAGTGTTCTCAGAGATCTGGAAGAGCAGGTGTACTGCTGTCAACAGAGGGCCTATGATCTGAGACAGATTACACACTCATGTCTTCACATAAAAGCCACTATTAAAATATTTTCTCTCTGCAAAGGGAGCTGTGCACTGTACAGCTGATGCGAAGCAGCTTAGTCATTCATTTCACAGATGCAGAGCTGGCACACCGGCTTTTCCTTCAAACAGTTTTCCAAAAAAAGAGGATGTTACAGTTTTATTACTGCTAGGACTGCACACCTTAAACCAACAGGGTGACATATTTATTACGCTTTATGATGTTTTTTTAGTGTAGCATTTCACTCCCTCTCAGCTTCTCTCATCTGCGCCCATGAGACCGAGCCGTGTCCAAATAAAGGCTGCAAAGAGCACCAGCGGCATTCTTACTGGATGCTGCTGTACATTACCCACAGTGCTTTGCCGTGTCTCATTCCACGGCTGCCAAGACAGTGGCTTTAGGGACTGGAGCTCCATATGTTTCTCTCAGGGGTCTTGAGCACCGTGTACTTGGCACGCTCAGAATAAGCCCAGTGATCTCCAATTACCCTCCTCTCACGGATTGTTTGGTGTCACTTGCCGTCTGCCGGCTGAATATGATGATTCTGCGCCTACAGTGTAAAAGGATAGTCGCACAGATCTCTTGGCATGCACTGTGCTCCTTACAACTCAATTGGAGCGGTGACCCAAAGCCAGTCCAAACTAGCCAATTATGAATTTCAAAAGCTCTTCAAGTCACATGTGTCAAGTCAGTGTTGTACTGTGTTCCCCCTTTTGAGCTTAACACAGTTCTAATTCTTGTCTTTCCTTTCCTTCACTTCTTGATGCCTGCTCCAAATGATGTCACAGGTTGTGCCATGATGAGTTGGCCCAAAATAAGCCAGCTTGACTATCATCACTTCTCCAATACTTTAGAGAAATAATAAACTACAGCAAATAATAAAATACAGCTACCGGCCTTCTTCCTGTTTGATCGAAACTAAAGCTGCATCATACATCTGACATTTGGATGCAGAAGCTGTCGACATATCTGATTATGGGAAACTCAGACAGGACACATTCATCATTGCTCCAATGTGAAAATAGAACGTGAAATAGACCGGAACAAGCTCGCATTTTGTGCCAGTGAGAAGGCTTTCAGCTCTGCCACTCCATCACATTCTCATATGTACTGCTAAGTCCAGTCAAATAAAACGTTGACTGTACTGAAACACTGTACTGTAAGCAGTCAGGGTGCCCTGGCTGACCTGATATGGATGAAGGTTGCCGTGCGACATGATTCCCGGGAAGATGACTCTACACTGGTGAAATGAGCGGAAGGAGGAGTTTGGCAATAAGCAAAAAGGACGAATTCTGTATGGAAACACCATCTGTCCGTCTCTTTGGCTTGGTTCACATCCTTTTTTTTTTCTATTGAAAAGCAGAGATGGACTGAATGGTGAAAGCTGTTTCCTCCTGGGAACAACATCCTGATGCTGTCTGGGTATGTAAAGCAGAACTCCAGCATCAGTGATTTTGTTGCCAAGGGGAGGACTAAGTCAACAGAAAAGCTGTATGGTGATAATAAAAAGTAAAACCAGAAAAAAAGGGGAACAATGTGCAGAAGCAGTGTCAACAGCTGTGGTAAACATATTATTTATAGCTGCAATGATCCAGCAGAAGCAGCTTTAATATTATTTCCATCTTTAGGTGAAACATATTATAGCCTACAGCAACTGTTAGCAGCAGTCTAATATGTATAAAGTAGGAAGTGTATTTCATATTATTATATCAGGGTTTGAATGTATTTATTTTTTATGCCAGGTCTCCAGTTTTCAGTAGGAACGGCTCCTAAAACTGCCTGCTATTCTGCTTCCAACCTCTAGAGGGAGCGCTATTCATTGTTGAAACAATACTCATGAGACTGTCGGGGTCTTTCCAAGTATTTGGCCTTACAAATGCGTGGAATATATACTCTTAGGACACCAACTCACTGCTAAGGAGACAGGTTTTTTTTTTTATCTTCAGCAGGTCAGACACAAACTGGACACTTTATTCTAATGCATGAAGTTATCTTTTGGTCATGTTGTGTTTTTATTTGAAACTCCTTTTTCAAGGGAAACACTTTTGTTGGCAAATATGCAAATATTAAGGTTAAGCTGTAAATGGTTCTACTTCTGAGATTTGACTTGCCCTACTTTGTGTGCATGTCAGCAGTGTAGTGTGTCACAAAATTACTTCTCATGCAAATCTTGGAAAATGCTGCACTGCTCTTTTTCAGGAGAGAGGAAAGTGAGAGGTACAACCACGTGAAAACACTGTGATGGTTTGGAGTTGCGTTTTTTGCTTTTTGCCAGTGATGTTGAGGGTCTTGTTAAAAGTTGTGTAACTGTGAACATATAAAAGTACCGTCAGGTTTTGATCCACTATTCAATACTGTAATACATCTTAGAAGAGTTTGACTGACAACAGTTTCATAGTTTCGTTTTTCAACATGACAGTGGTTGCAAAAACCTTGCCAGTGCATTAAAGGCGCACCTGGACAAAAAAATGAATTGGCATCCTCAGAGCCTGGACATCAACATTATTCAAGCATTGTGGGATCATCTCGACAGAGGACAGAACAAAAGGCTCTTTATGTACTGTTTCTCCATATATGTTTGCACATAATTCAACAAATCATTGCACCCATTTTCCATTTCCCTAGGAAAACATAAAGAAATGCTTTATCGTTTTATTTTAAAGTGTAAAGAAATGCTGCCAACACACACGTGTTTACATATTTTATGCTGTAACATCTTTGAGAATAATGTAACAGCCACAAAGTATCACAGATTTTCTATAAGTCTACATGTCACTGTGACATTCACTCTGCTGCTATTCTCCATCAGCAAGGACAGATGTGTTACATTAGACGGGATAAGTTATTGATCCCCGTCCTGCACTCTGCTGCCAGGAATTCTCCCGGAAGAGTGTACTGCACATCCAACCCCCACCAACTGCTTTTCTGTGCATCTCTCCATCTCTTCTCTCTCTCTCTCTCTCTCTCTCGTCTCAGTATGCTTAGCTTATCTCTCTTGTTTTTTCCTCGATAAGGTTCCTGCAATGCATTAAAATCAGGGGACTTACTTGGGCCGACTGAATGCAAGGTAAGAAAAGACATGTGCTGGTACTGTGCATGCCTGCTGCTGCTGCTCAGAGATTATGGTGCAACACATTATGCAGTGTCATGATGCAGCAACGCATATAAATTGATAAACAGGTTCTTCTCTTTATTTTTACAGAGTTAAAACATTTCGGGGGTGGAGCCGCACTGGTGATTTCATTGGATAGTTTAAACTTGCTTTCTAAGAGGAAATGCACTAACAAAGGAATAAGGAAAAGGTATCATTTGCTTTTTAATAATGCCTTGGAGTCTGTGTAGTAATTGGAGACACTAAGGGTGTAATGTGCAGTGTTTTCCTTTTCTTACTTGTAGACCTTTGAGGTATCTGTTCATGGTTTGGCTGGTTGGAAGTTTTATAATCTTATCCCGAGTCTGTCCACCTGTTACACAGTGAGGTGTTAATTTACCCGAAACAGGGCAGATTACAGGCTTTACGGCCTGCTGCATACGTGTGTGTGCGACCATGAGAGTGTGTGTGTGTCTTTTCACATCGTTTACGTCACAGCTGCTGTGAGTCAGCTCCTCTCTTCCTTTCCTGAGTCACTCATCCAGTGGTTGCTTGGTTACTGCAGAGCGGTGAAAGTTTCCTATTGCGTCTTTGTCTCCGTGGACGGATGGGCTTCGATATTTATTCAGGCTCAGGAGTGAGTGTTCAAATAATGTACGTGTTTGTGTGCATGCGTGCATCTGCGGTCGCTGCTTCAGCCAACGGGCAAAGGCTGACAAATCAGTTTCAGCACATCCTGTTATTGAGAGACACTGAATGGATGTCTGGGTACCGCAACTGAACCCTTAATAAGCTGACACTGCCAAGGAATTGTATTTAGAGGAGACACAAAAGAGAATCCTAATTAGAAAAAGCATGCATGTCATTTTTAGTCATATTTTTAAAATTGCGACAGGTTCCATTCTCACACCATCAACATCCAAATGTTTTTGGCCAGGCGATAAAAAGTCCATTTCAATATTTAAGCTACTGGAGCACAATTTTTAAAAGGCAATTTGAGCCTGAGCACTGACTACTTAATTTTAACTGGCATGTGCCATCAACACCGTTAGCTGGTAGGTGATGAAACTGTGGAGATTGGTGACATATTAAAGGAAAGCCCAATATTAAGTGTGCCAGCATGACCCCCAGAACAGCCTCATTGTTCCTTGCAATTGATTTTCTTTGTTTCTCGAACTATTCAGGAACGACAGTGCGCCATTCTTTAAAAAAAAAAAAGAAAGAAAAAGAAGCCACCAGTCTCTCAAGTGAGATCTTGGGTTGAGATCTGATGACTTCAAACATGTTATTCACATAATTTTCAGACTCTTCCTTTGTTACATGCCTCTCCAACCCTACTGGACTGCAGTGACGGTCCAATGCTGTTATATGGACTTATTTGGTGGTGTAAATAAAGGCATGCGTGTTGTAGCTTGGTCCTCACACTACTTCTTTCTTCCCATCTTTATTCTGTCATGACTGCAGAATCAAATCTTTGGTCATGCTGCATGAATTGGGGGGGGGGGCTTCCTTGCAAAAATATTTGCAAGGGTGAAACTTCTGTATTTAAATCAATGCACCACCCCAAGTAGGTGCTATGCAGGAGTGTAAAGTTTTCTAATAGGATAGAAATATTACATCATAGGATAAAGGTAAATCACTTTATGATGATTTGCAGTGGCCCCTCCCTCTAATACTCCAAGTAGAACTCAAACATGGCCTCAGAACACAACAAAGTGGTTTAACTCCCTCGCTTAGGGAGTCACAAGTTCAAGATTCTTTCTTTCATTAGTCACATGTCTGGATTTTTAATAGTGTATGCTAAATGTACAAAATATAATAAATTGCTCCACTCCAAACTACCATTTCACTATATGCTTTTTAAGATTCTCAAGGTAAATAAATACATTCTTAGGTAAATAAACCTGTAAATAAGTGGAACAAACATTGGTACTCTGTTGCTGATAAAATCAGTTTGGCTACAAGAATTTACAAAATGAGCAAACAGTAAAATTATATTCTATATAGATTGGTTTTTTTTAATTATAACTATAACATAGTGAGTGTATTGGCCTACATAATGAATTTTATTTTATTATAACTTGTATTATCTCTGTATTCATTGAAGTATTTGCCAATCTGTGAATATGCTGAGAGCACAAACATCACCACGACAACAGCAAGGCAAGAAACACATGTAGGTGGTCAGACATTAGGTTAGTGCGTTAATTAGTTTGAGGTGAAGCTGTTTGAGTCATTGTGAATCATTCATACAGGGATGAAGAGCTTCATTTGTGGATGTCCTCAGGTCAGATGATACAGGATGACGAGGAGGGACTACCAGTCACCTGCTTCAGCTTTCAAAGATGCTGCTCAACCTGTAAACCGTAGAGGAGCACTGACTCCAGATCAACCTTGGTAACAGCATCATCATCCTTCTCCCTCTGTCGCCAGCGCCGACGGATCAAGCAACTAGCGTTTGCTTTGCTTGATCTTTTTGGTACAGATTCCCCACTTGGAGAAGACTTAGTTTAAATGTGTGGGACACAGTTTTAACACAAAGAATTTAAATATGGCCGCCCGCCAAGATCACCACAATAAGTTTATCAGTTTCAGCGATGACTGTATGCCAGCACAACTTTTTAGTGACATTTACTCCTTGCAGAATTGCAATACTTTTCTTGGGAATAGTGATTGTCTTATCAGTGACAACAACAATACGACAGCTATGAAAAGCTCCACTGCCCAATGCCCCTTCTGTCCGAACACTAACTCTGAGAATGACCAGAGGGAAAATGTTGACAGAGACTATTTAAATACTGCCAACCAAAGAAGACTTCCAACATCCTCTCAAAACTACAATCATCCAGGAGAATCATGCGGACGGGACAGGAAAGTGAAAATAAGGAAGAGTGTGTCATTTGATGATGATGTCATTGTCTACCTGTTTGATCAGGTACTGATTTCCTGTTCTACTTTAACCTTTATTTTAATGCATTTTTAGGCTTTTTATCTTTTTGTAGCTAATAATGTGTTTATTAAATGTTTTTAACAGGACTGTTTCAACCATGTTACTGAATACTGAATACTTCCTGTTTATTCTTAGGAGAGTCCAACTCTGGACATGCACTTTGAGTCTTACACGTCTCTGATGAGCAGCTATTCCTCCAACCTGCCAGGCGTCACATTAGAAGATAATGGTAATGTCTTCAAGAATTACACAAGTGATTTTGTAGATTGTATGCCATTATTTAGAAAAAGAGCAAAACACACACTGTACCAGTGAAACATATTGCACTTTTACTTAACACATTCATTCATGCTGTAATTTATATTTAGTAGTATCATCATGTAAAGCTGAGCCAGAGAGAGCAGTAGCAATACCTCACTATTGCAGGTATCCATAGCAACAAAATTGGGGTCGGCATGAAAAGAAGGAGCTGGGCTCGAGGTGGGTTGCAAAGTGGCTTGCAGATGAAGCTGTAGAAAGGCTGACGTACATGACAGTTATCAATTTGACGGAGATAAGGGTATCAGCCATGTCATCAGTTTGACTGAAGTAATGCTACACTGAAGTTACTGTGTTGTTGTTTTTTTACATTACTTTTTCCTTTTTATTTACAGAGAGATGGAACAATGAGCTCATAAAATATGATGGTGATGTTATCACCATCAGCAACAGCACTATAATTCTAAATAATATTTGGCAGTGTTATTAACAGTTTTATCTTTTTATCTGTATCAAACAAAAGGCTTATGACAATGTAAAAAGACCAAGGGTTGCACCATGCACTGCAGGATATCACACAGTTGTCAGTGTGGCTAATTATGCATGTGGTTGGTTTTGCGTGCAGCCTTCGAATGGGAGGATGACTTCTCGGCTTTGGAGAAGAGCTGCCATTTTCAGTATGACGGGCACTCTCATCCCTGCAGCCTACTGCAGACACATAACCGGACTGCCCAGTCCAGACCAGAGAATGGCTGTCTACCCCAAACCTGCCTTTTCCTCACCTATGTCACTGAGTCCGACCTCGAGTGAGATAAGGGTGAGTGACACGCAAATGCACACACATACTGAGCTGCATGTGGTGATTTTTATGAAACGTGGTAAAGTAAAGACAGCCTTTCTATCAGAATGTCTGCCTTCAGCCTAAGGCCATCTCACTGTCGCCATGGCCTAATGTGACATCCACACTTGTTTTTCTTTCAGAGAGCCAGCCTTGGCCTAATGGAAAAACTGACTAATCGTCCAGATCTCTCCTCTTCACCCTAACTCATCTCCTACCCGCCCTCCCCCTTTTATGATGAGTCAGGGATTTTAATAGCTTTTTTTTCACTCCGTCTTTGCTCCAAATAGATTCAGCGCACTTGCCATTCATGACATCACAGCCGAGCAGGACTCTCTGACAGCGCATTCAGTTTTCACAGTTGTTGGTATGACAAGATTACTGCCCATGATGTCAAATAACGGTAAATAAGAGTTGCATAAGAGTGCTGGTGCCTTTCCAGCTGCAAACTGCTTTGGAAGCTACTCTTTATGCCAGGTTGCGTCCTTTGACTCGATGTAGGAAACAGAAACAGAAACTTACGTGTGTTTAACAAACTCCTGTGTGCTTCTGCAGTCGCGCTTTATCTTTAAATTGCTGTAGTTTTCAGGCTAATGTTGGTGTTGAAGAAAATATGTTGTTTATACGGTTTGTTTTGCTCAAACAGAGCATGCTTGCGGGGGCCCTGTTTGCTTGCCTCATTACTGAAGTGTGTTGAGCTCAGAACATATCAGCGGCTGTGGTAAAATAAACAGTGTAAGCCTTAGGGCCAATGGAGGCAGAAACTGTGCACACTAAAGCGCAAAGATAATATTTCCACAGAGGCAACTTCAGCAAGGTTTGGTTGATTAGATACAATGTAGCTGAGGAGGGAAGGAAACCTGGCAGGACCTGTCTTACTGTTCACAAACACACACACACACACACACACACACACACACACACACACACACACACACACACACACACACACACTCTTTAGAAGATATCAAAATAAATCCCATTCATTTATTAGAGACTTATAGTAACCTTAAGCCAAGCGTCCTCCTAAATATCCTCTAATGATTGACATTATGTGGACTTTTGGGGCTTTTGTCCTTATATGTGAGGCGAGTCCCCACTGTGTGACTGTGTAAACAGGTTTATGTTCCCACAACACGAGTAATAGAAGTACACACACACACACACAAACGCACACAAGCTGCTCAAGGGCATCAAACGCTGGAAGTGTTTGCTTCTAAAAGCTGGGAGCTTCACACCTGTAACGTTGCTGTGTCTGTGACATCCCAACACTGTGCTAATGTTGTTAATGCTCAGACTAAGAGGTTTGGAGAAAAAGTTAGAGAGGTGAGGCTGAGATGGTTTGGGCATGTGCAGAGGAAAGATTGGGCCAAAGATGTTGAAGATGAAGCTCCCAGGCAGGAGGAAAGGAGGAAGACCTCAGAGAAGATTCATGGATGGAGCAAAGGAAGACAAGTAGTGGGTTGAAGTGACCAAGGTGGATGATAGAAATAGAGTGAGATAGAGGCTGATAATCCACTGTGACCCCTAAAGGGAGTAACTAAAATAATAAGAAATCCATTAGCCATTAAATTGTTGAATAGAAAAAATGTAGTGGCCAACTGCCATGAAGCAGTGTGGTTTCTGTGTATAGACATGAGATTTTGTATGTTTTCTAGAGATTTGTTTCGTCACAAACAGCAACACCATTGTTTAGGTCTTGTGAGTGTGTAGGCCATATAGTAAGAATAAGCACACAAAGCTATGAACGCATAACTGGTTCATAGTGTCCAGATCTGAAAAGTGAGGCCAATGTGGATGTGTCTTAACCTCCCAAGACCCGAACTCTTCCACGGCACACATTTTTAATTTCTCTTTGATATTTGGGCTGATTGGGGATTTTTTTTTTTACCTTATTTTTGTTTTTAAGAAAAATAAGAGCCAAGATATCAGGCCCTTGTAGAGCAAAATTTAGTATTTTGGTCTAAATAACCCAAAATGTGATGTCCACATATGTGGAGGCCAGTCAGGAGCAACTCCTGTGGTTTCTAAAAGATAGATACTGTTGAATACTGTACTGATACTGTAGAAGTCTATGAGAAAACAGCCCTCGGGCACTCCTGACCTTTGAACTCAGTAAACACCTTTCTAATCAGATTATGTTCTCCATCACTAGCTTCAGACCTCCCCAAATCAAACGTGATGTTAATTCTGGAAATTATGGGTGCCTTTAGAGTCGAAAGGGAGGATAAAGCAGGGTCAGTCTTATGACTGACAAATTGCTATCCCACGAGCCTGCACTGTGTCTCAGATTCACAGTCAGAGTCACCTCTCATTCGCCACATTGAATTTCAAAACACCAAAACTCAAATGTTAAAAGCAGGTAGCTTGAAGCGACAAGCCCATTGCCCCATTACTTTAAGCCCTTCCCCAACATTGTTTTAAATTTTTATGTATTCCTACCTACCCAAATGAGGAATCATCACCTGATATATAAACATCCAGTATCTATGCACTGCGATAGCATAACTGCAATCATTTAACCTTGTGAGTCTCTCTGCCTGTGTATATGTGTCACTGAAGCAAAATGTGGAATTGAAAACCATCAGGGTTTGTCAATAATCTTCCAGATGTTTGCAGACACTGCAAATGCAGTCACTGATGAACAGTCAGTATACCTCACCGTAGTGACTCCTCCCTGTCTCTATAGTCTTGCTACCACAACATAAGGTAATCCTAACTGCCAACAGCTGCATTAGGCTGCCAAGTTAAACAGTTGGATTACTGCAGATCACATTTCCATGTGAAGAAGGAGCGTGTTAATAATTGCAGTTGTTCTGCTTTTCTTTTATGGCATGTTTTTTGTAATGTGTGTGTTTTTTTTTTAGTTTTCTAGTGGCCTGAGGCTGTCCCTCAGAAGTAATGTAATGCAAAAAATGCAGCTCAAAAAGTTTGTCTGTTGAAAAGCAAATATTGGAGCAAAGTTTAAACGAGGCCTACATTCAGCTGTAGCCTGGAGGACTGTATTCAAATGAAGCAGCAGAAGGTGATAAGTCACAATGGAAAATATGTTAACTGTTCAGACGAACTAACTTTACTACAGTTATCTTAAAGGTAAGAGCACGTCTGCAGCTTAACAGAAAAAGAAGAAGGTTTACTTGCATTCACCTGAATGAATAAAAAAGCATTTCACAGTTGTAAATGCTGCTGCTGAGCATGTTATCGGCATATCAGTATGGAAAAAAGAGCAGTTTTTGTAAGGGTCTTTAAAATATTAGACCATACCATTCAATTCCACCACTGCAATCTCATTATATTGCCTTAATTGTTTTTTTTTAATGAAATACAGTAAAGTAAAACTCCTCAGTTACATTAGTTAGCCAGTAAATCCTTAACATTTTGCTTGTCAACTGCAAAACGACTACACTTTCTAGAAATGGGAAGCAGGAAACGCAAAAATATCACATCAGAATATTCCTAATTCACCAGGTAAACTGGCCAAACTAACACTGAAAGGGTTTCAATTAAATATTTTTTTCATCACTGAACTACTGCACACAAATTTTCACTGTTCTCAGAATCTATGCAAATGTCAGCTGGAACTTGTGAATGGTAAGTACGCATATTCAACCAATTATTTAGTTAATATTTTATAAAAGTACTCCACGTATTTCACTTTCTGAACTGAATAGTCGTGTTCTGACTGCTATTTGTGCTTTTTCTCAAATGAACAGCACAGATATTAAAGCACACAAGCCTGCAGGACACTTAGATCTGTCTCCCTAACCATGTTTATATAAGATGATCCCTGGATTTGAATGCTGCTTCCACCAACTACTAAATATCGTTGGAAAACATTAGTGGGAGCCAAAGTTAATCTGAATCCCCCAAAAATCAAAATCAAAAACATCCTAGTATAAATGTAAGTTCAGTATAATTCTTGCACATCTGTGGCTTTCTGCAGCAACAGCAGCAGGTTGTTGGGAGGTTTAGGGTTGAGGGCGGAGCTAGCGGGGGAAAGGGCTGTCTCTCTGATTGGCTGAACAGCGCGACGTGTACATCTGTTAGCAACAGGTAGCCGTTCACGTGTGACAGTTATCTGTGAGCCTCGCGCTGATGTGCTGCTCTCGCGCTCCTTCATTCCCACTGCTCCTTTAATTGACTTTATGTCGCTGATCATGTCCGGCTGCATGCTGACGCCTTTTCTGTAAAAAGAAACAGGAAGGAGAATATTAGTATAATTTCCCAGGTAAGGCTTTTAGTTCCCTTCCATTTGTGTTGTGAGTGAATTTGACTTGTGTCTGCTCATCTTCATATCGGTCACAGCACTGCCGTTGGTGTGATTAAGCTGAGGTTAGGGAAATAATGACGATGATGGAGAAATACACGGTTTTTTTTATTGTGCGTACTTATCTATGTAAAACAGCTTTATCTGACAGCGTGTGATAGTATAGTTTAAACTGTCACTGTTTGTAAATTCACATTTAAAATATATAATAGTAATAGAACCTCTTCTTAAATAAGTTTAGGAGCTGATGGTTTAGTCTTATTATGTGAAGCCAAACTATGCAGTGAGTTAAAGTGAAGTTAAAAAGCTTTGCTGTTGCTGGGAGCTGCCAGGTCTGTTTTTGTGAGTGTAACCTTGACATGGGTATTATCTCTGAACTGTGGGGTAAGAAGTGTGGAGTAACAGACCAACATCATGGAGTTTTCACACTGCAAGAGTCTGATTAGATACAACAGGATGCCAAGTTGTTTAAACTGGAGCTGACTGAAGGAAAACTATGAAATGGGCCACTTTATATCCTTTTTTTCTTGTCCTTAACACTCCTATCTTGTCTTCCAGGTTTGTTGAACCTGAGATCTGTTCTGTCAGAGATAAGGGGAGTAGCAAGATGAAATCCAAAGGGAAGGCTGTGAAGCCATCCAGAAGGACCTGGTCCGACCCGGAGCCGGAATTCGAGCCAGACACAGAGCCGGGCTCCAGCGAGCAGGAAGGCTCAGAGGCCTCGGTCCGGATCCGTGGCTCCTGGAGGGGCTCTCTGAGGAGCGGCAATGGCAAGAGGCAGGGAGGAGGCCGGCGACGCAAGCACGGCTCCAGCACCAAAGAGCGCAGCATCCGTCGACTGGAAAGCAACGAAAGGGAACGCCAGCGCATGCACAAACTCAACAACGCCTTCCAAGCGCTGCGCGAGGCCATCCCGCATGTGAAAACCGAGAAGAAGCTGTCCAAGATCGAAACGCTGACCCTGGCTAAGAATTACATCAAAGCTTTGACCACCATCATCCTGGATATGTCAGGGGGCTGCCTGCCTGCTGGAGGGGTCCCTTCAGAGGCCAGCGCTGCCAAGCTCCTCCAGTGCTACCAGCAGCACCTGGAGGAAGAGGGGGAGGAAGGTCTCACCCAATACCTCACCAGCATGCATAGCTTCAGCCAGCAAAGCTAACAGTAAGATTAAAGCAAGGGGAGCCACCAGGAGGAGGGCTGGACAAATCAAACATTACCCACTTCCTACAGTCACACTCTTAGAGACGTTCAGCTGTGTTTTCTGTAGGAAGTGGGCTTCCCCCCCCCCCAGATCATAGACCTCTAATAAATGCTAGCAAGAGGTGGGCTGTGCAGAACTCCATGCAAAATATGGAAGGATTTTATACAGCAGACATGAAGAATGCAGACTGGAAAGTGAAACCAAATGGACCATAGTTGTGTAATGTATGTGCCCAGGAAAGAAGGGCTGCTTTTTTCCACCCTCATGTTTTTTTTCCTTCTTCTTCTTGCGTGTTGTGGTTTAAACTGGGGAAGGGGATTGTTCTCTTTTGTGTTATCTTGCCATCTTCTTGTATCGACTCTTGAGAAACCTGCTCAGTGTAACCTCGAGCCATAACTGTTGCATCCATGAAAGAAAGACAACCAAGCAGAAGGCTTAAATATTGAGGTGTTGTTGCAAGAAAGCGCTCACAATGATAATCCACCCTTGATCTGAACGCGTAGCTCATTTCTCTTCTTCTGCACACAGAAGAGTTCTTAAAGGCACAGATGCTATTTAACGTGTATGTTACTTGCTTATCCCCTCTCCCTGCTGTGTTTCCATGTGTGTTTAAGCTGCAAACTTTGTGTGAAACATCATAACGGGGGAAAAAAACATTTGAGAAGTTGTTATTAATAAATACATGTATTTATTATTGACACAGACTGTTTCTTTTTTTGACCACACACAATGTTCAGTATTCACAGATAATAGAGATCTCACTTGCAACATTTACAAATAGTTTAGCAGGTTTAGACAGCGAAGGTGCATTTAAGCAGCTATTGACATAAACTGATGCCCGTGCATGATGTTTAGTAGTCCGTGTAATATAACAACTGCCACGATACTGAGTAGATACTAGTATTTTGCAATCTTGCAACAAAAGATAATGTTTTTTTCCCCCTTACTGCTCAGTCATTCTACAACCATTATGTCAAAGGAAGTTAACAGCATGCAGCACTCCTGAGAAAGAGGAAGGTTCAGTTTGAGCGTTTCAGCTATAAGACTACAGTAATTTTCCTCTTTTTTACAATATTCACCAGTGTACATGCTTCATGATAATGATAGATTTTTTTTTTAGGTAATAACATCAGAAGTCTTTGCACAAGGCATGTGTAAGTTTAAACCAGTGTAGGTGTTCTAACAGCTGCTACATCCTGGCACCAAATAGCAGTCCATGGGTAAACCTCTACAATCTGTCTAGAAACAATACTTGACTGATTAGAAGTGACTAATGCTAATTACACAGCGTGTTTTGGAGTGTAGTTTTACAATTCTCTCAGCCAGTGTCATTCAGCTAACAGTGGGTTCAGTTTACCTCACAAGCTGACTTTTTACATGCAATAATCACCCCAATTCTTGTC